CACACACCGGCCCAGCTAACCAATCACAACACATTTAGTATTTCAGAAGGCGGGCCTTCATTTGATACAGGAACTATTCGAGCCGTTCATGCCAGACTGGGGAGAGAGGTGTTGTAATGATGTAAAATATGTGAAAAATAATGCGTTTTTCGAACAACCTAGTATGAGAGCCTGTTCTAGTACACCCCCAAAACAAAATCAAGACTTTGTAAAAGAGCATAATAGGACCCCTTTAACAGCTCAAAATTGCATTTGTTTGATTGATGGAGTTGCGTGTTGTTTTTGCCTTCCCAGAGCAATACGATGCTTTCGTGAAGTTCACCCATGACCAGCTGATGAGGCGGTTCGGGGAGCAGCCTGCCAGCTGTACGTATGCTCTGCTCTGGTGTGTGTTGATGGTTGTGCTCGCTGTCTTTGGCTCACGGCTGACCGCTGTTGTTCTGCAGATGTGTCCTGAGCGCGCCTCGCTGTGAGACGGCGTCTTGTCCTGTGGATCTCTGCCTGTGTGAGCTCCTGACGCTCAGGATAGGTCCAGCTGGGTCTCCAGCAGTGCCAATTGCATCTTTCCCCACGCTGGGCACAGAGTTTGTGTCAGGCTTCTGTCAGTGCGTAACCACTCTCTCTCTCTCTCTCTCTGCAGCGGCTGCTTATACACCTCTGCAACTATTACTCCAATCAGTGGCTCTTGTGTCTCTTACTGAACCCTGGATATTTATTAGGCTTTGACCATGCCTTTTACACAGTCACCTGTCATTACATCCTTTATGTTTGATTTATGGAAAATGCCTTTTATTCGCTGCAAATGACGTCGATTGCCATGATAAATGTGAGACTGTGTGAGGGAGACTGCTGTTCATAGCTTTGTGTAAATACATCCTGGCTTTCATCTGGAGTTTTCATGTACAAATCAAATACAGCAGTTATTTCAATTGGAGTCTGTTTTCATTCTTTGTATTTATTTTTGTTGATTTAAAAAAAAAAAAATTTTTGCCCCTTTCCTCTGCATTATGGTTTTACCGCTCCTGTAGTTTAAGTGACTTATGTTGGGAAAGTATACAAATAAAATGTTTACATAACTGCTGTTGTTTCTTGCTGCTGTACGTTCACTTTAGATCGGATAGTTTGGGTTTCTTGTGCTAGATTCCTGAAGTGCCTGGGTTAACCAGTAAGTGCCTAAACTGACTTTGTGTTGTGGAGTCTGGGGTCATGCACTCCTGGAAGAAAATGTTACAGGTTTAAAGCTAGATGCATCAGTGTGGTGCGCTGAGAAGTCGTTTTCAGTGTCCAAATGAACAGAGCAAGAAGTCTTTGCTTTGACTTCTACCTGGACTTTAAAGTGGACTCAGTCCACTCAGGAACCTACTCAATTTTAACATCATACTACTTTTATAGTTAATATATAGAATATAATGTCTTATCTCAAAAATAGTAATATATTACTATTATAATACAACTGCACTGTAAAATAAATTAATGTTAAATATAATTAAAACACATCGTTAGAGACAGAATGTTAAATGAACAGCTAATATCCAGCAATGCAGATTATTTTGTCAAATTTTGCTGCTTTGAAATGAAACTTTCAAGTGTAGGTTACAATGCATAATTCATAGCGTAATGTGACGGTTCACCTCAAAACTGAAAAAACAGCTGATAAAAACATCAAGTAATCCACAGCACTCCAGTCCATCAGTTAACATCTGGAGAAGACAAAAACTGAAACTAATCCAGCATTAAGACATTTTTAACTAAAATACCACAGAGTTCATAATTCATAATAACTCTTCCTCCAGTGAAAAAGTGCATCTGCTGTTGTCTCTCACATCAAAATCCAGCCACATATGTGTTTAGAGCTGTTTAAACACTGCTTGATCTGTGCAGATTTCTCTCCTGATTCACACCAGAACACTTTTTCACTGGAGGAAGCGTTAGTATGGATTATTGACTCGTATTTGAGTTAAAAGCGTCTTAATGCTGGATTTGTCTCAGCTTTTGTCTTCTCCAGATATTAACTGATGGACTGGAGTGCTGTGGATTACTTGTGGATTATTGTGATGTTTTTATCAGCTGTTTGGACTCTCATTCTGACGGCACCCATTCACTGCAGAGCATCCATTGCTGAGACACTGATGCAGTGCTGCATTTCTACAAATCTGATGAAGAAACAAACTCATCCTAATCTCGGATGGACTGAGGGTGAGCACATTTACAGCAAATCTTCATTTGTGTGTAAACTATTGCACTGAGCTGTTTTCTATGTTAGGCATATTATTAGAGGCAATGTGTGCATGCTCTAACATAAAATAAAGAGTATTTGCAAATTGATCTGGTTTACTTTAATATAAAATCTAGTTATTGTTATTCTAACATTTATTTTTTGCTACTTGTCAAATGCCGCATGTAGACTTTATTAATGATTATGACAGAAGAATTGTAGACGGCTTTAGCTTCAGATGTCAAATCTTGATCATCTCGATGTAAAAATGCTGTAAATAAAGCAGCGCTGTCCTCGTCAAATTATAGTATCATTTTATATTTAATTTTATAATTACATTTTACGATATAATTTATAGTTTAACTCGATATTTTTCAACAAGAGGGAGAAACAAAGAAAAGGATAGCAATTCACATTTTTTGTTTTGATATGTTTTGAGCAGAGATGACAAGATTATTCTCTGAATCGGTCACAAAATACAATTATGTATTCTCACACTTAAGAATAACAAAAACAAACAAACAATATATATACGTAGTAAGGTTTCACAAAATAAAACAGAGCAAATAAAGTGTAATGATATTAATAAAAACAGTATTCTTCCACCAAACAATGTAGCTCCTCAGAAACAGTTGTGGTTGCTACAAAGTGGTTGCCGAGCAACAGACAAACGTAAACAAAGGTGTATGTTACTTTGTAGCGTCATTTACAACAGCTTCGAACGCGGCTCAGCCAATCAGAATCAAGCACCGGAACTATCGGCTTTATAAAGAGAGTTTGTCAGAAATCATGATTAGGTTATACAGTTTACGACAGATGAGAATAATAATCTGATTTATGTGGGTACCAGCACACGTGGGAATTCAAGTTAATGAGGAGGCAGACAAAATAGCCAAAGAATCAATAAAGATAAAAGAACCAAATATAAACATTGCACTCAGTAGATCAGAAGGAAAAGAGTTTATTAGGAAATGTCAGACACTCGTGCCATACAGGTCGACACTATTACAAGATTCAAAGAACCATGAAGAAAATCAAAATAATTCACTACTTAAGTCGAAGAGAACAAGTTATTTTCACACATCTACAAACAGGGCATTCAAATCTAAATCATATACTTGACAAATTATAGAGAAGCATAATGCAGGATTATGTGACATCTGTTTAATAGAGGAGACAGTGGAGCATGTTATGAAGATATGTAAGATAAAGGAGGATTCGTAAGGAAGAATTACAACAAGCATTAGGGTACCAGGAATTCACAATAACCAGGTCCAAATTCAGGAAAACTAATAAATGCAGTCATGAGATTATTAGGAGCAGAGCCCAGCTCAGTCTCTTCACACGCCAGCACAGTAGGGGGCGGTATGCGCCTCTGCCGCCATAAACTCAGAAGAAGAAGAAGAAGAGGAGCGTGTGGAGGAGTCAAAACAAGGATGAAAGCAACTAGGGTAGGAATTGTGAACAGGAGAGAGGAAACTGTGTTGACTACATTGTGCTCTAAATAAAACAGTACAGATGGTGTGGAAGCAGCAGTCTGGTCTGTGTGATGAATCAGTGGAGCATGTGTAATTCTACAGGGTAGGAAATGCAAGACAAACACAAATGATGGAAAATAATCTTAAGGAAATAGTGCTGCAGAAACTTACTTTAAAATCTACCCTAAGTATGACGGAAAGAGCTCAGGTTAGAGAATTGTTAGGTTTTTTAAGGGACTGGGCTTTATTATAGGATATGATGGATAGTTTTTTTAATTATCATTATTATTATTTGCTCCCATTCCCCCTTTTTCCTCATCTCATCATCTAGAATAGACTAAACCTACGGATTGATCCACGCTCCGGAACAGATGGTGGCGGTAATGCACCGATAAGCTGCATGCTAACCGCTGTTAAAAACTAAAGAAGAGGAGAGTTTGGGAGCCTGCTGACTTGTATTTTGACAGCGCGTCGCGTGCGGCGAGACTCATGGCGTGTTTCTTCAGGAGGCGCGTGGCGCTGCAGGTACAGCAGAGCTTTCAGCCGCACACACACACACACACACACACACACACTCTCTCTCACACTCACTCACTCACTCACTCACTCACTCACTCACTCACTCACTCACTCACTCACTCACTCACACACACTCACACACACTCACACTCTCACTCACTCACTCACTCACTCACTCACACACACTCACACACACTCACACTCTCACTCACTCACTCACTCACTCACTCACACACACTCACACACACTCACACTCTCACTCACTCACTCACTCACTCACTCACACACACTCACACACACTCACACTCTCACTCACTCACTCACTCACTCACTCACACACACTCACACACACTCACACTCTCACTCACTCACTCACTCACTCACTCACACACACTCACACACACTCACACTCTCACTCACTCACTCACTCACTCACTCACACACACTCACACACACTCACACTCTCACTCACTCACTCACTCACTCACTCACACACACTCACACACACTCACACTCTCACTCACTCACTCACTCACTCACTCACACACACTCACACACACTCACACTCTCACTCACTCACTCACTCACTCACTCACACACACTCACACACACTCACACTCTCACTCACTCACTCACTCACTCACTCACACACACTCACACACACTCACACTCTCACTCACTCACTCACTCACTCACTCACACACACTCACACACACTCACACTCTCACTCACTCACTCACTCACTCACTCACACACACTCACACACACTCACACTCTCACTCACTCACTCACTCACTCACTCACACACACTCACACACACTCACACTCTCACTCACTCACTCACTCACTCACTCACACACACTCACACACACTCACACTCTCACTCACTCACTCACTCACTCACTCACACACACTCACACACACTCACACTCTCACTCACTCACTCACTCACTCACTCACACACACTCACACACACTCACACTCTCACTCACTCACTCACTCACTCACTCACACACACTCACACACACTCACACTCTCACTCACTCACTCACTCACTCACTCACACACACTCACACACACTCACACTCTCACTCACTCACTCACTCACTCACTCACACACACTCACACACACTCACACTCTCACTCACTCACTCACTCACTCACTCACACACACTCACACACACTCACACTCTCACTCACTCACTCACTCACTCACTCACACACACTCACACACACTCACACTCTCACTCACTCACTCACTCACTCACTCACACACACTCACACACACTCACACTCTCACTCACTCACTCACTCACTCACTCACACACACTCACACACACTCACACTCTCACTCACTCACTCACTCACTCACTCACACACACTCACACACACTCACACTCTCACTCACTCACTCACTCACTCACTCACACACACTCACACACACTCACACTCTCACTCACTCACTCACTCACTCACTCACACACACTCACACACACTCACACTCTCACTCACTCACTCACTCACTCACTCACACACACTCACACACACTCACACTCTCACTCACTCACTCACTCACTCACTCTCTCTCACACACACACTCTCACACTCACACACACACTCACACACACACACTCTCACACACACACGGGGTGATCGCTCTTCTTGTGTTGCAGCTTGCAGAGGTGTGTGGACTGTCTGAAGATGTGTTCATACCACTCATCTCTGCAGTGCCGGTGTCAAAGAAGCAGTAAGAGCTACACTCAAACACCTGCTCACCGAATAAACTAGTGATGCAAAGTCCGATTCTTTTCCGCGAACTGGTTCTTTTTGGACAGTTCGGCTCATTGAATTGGTTCAAAGAGCCGATTCATCGGTTCCTGGTTCCTCGCATTACAAGTAACGATAATTACGTAATTACTTTCAGAATGATGCATTTATATATTCCGTTTCTTTCAGCCCCAGGCTTATTCAGTTCACTTTCTGTGTGAAAGGGCCTTTACAGGTGCCAAAAACATAACCTTTGGATTTTTTGTTATTCAAAAAACAAATAAGCAAGCCCAGGTGACAAAAAGTACCGCAAAAGTACCGCAATGCATTACTTTCCATAAAAAGTAACGCAGTGACTTACTTTTTTATGGAGTAATGCAATATTGTAATGTGTTATTTTTGAAAGTAACTTTCCCCAACACTGCTTATTATCACCGAGTTACACGGCGGCATGTGTGTGTGTTGCTATGTGTGTTTGTGTGTGTGTGTGGTGTTGTGTGTGTGTGTAAGTGAGTGTGTGTAAGTGAGTGTGTGTGTGAGTGTGTGTGTGTGTGTGTGTGTGTGTGAGTGAGTGTGTGTGTGTATGTAAGTGAGTGTGTGTGTGTGAGTGAGTGTGTGTGTGTATGTAAGTGAGTGTGTGTGTGTGAGTGAGTGTGTGTGTGTATGTAAGTGAGTGTGTGTGTGTGAGTGAGTGTGTGTGTGTATGTAAGTGAGTGTGTGTGTGTGAGTGAGTGTGTGTGTGTATGTAAGTGAGTGTGTGTGTGTGAGTGAGTGTGTGTGTGTATGTAAGTGAGTGTGTGTGTGTGAGTGAGTGTGTGTGTGTATGTAAGTGAGTGTGTGTGTGTGAGTGAGTGTGTGTGTGTATGTAAGTGAGTGTGTGTGTGTGAGTGAGTGTGTGTGTGTATGTAAGTGAGTGTGTGTGTGTGAGTGAGTGTGTGTGTGTATGTAAGTGAGTGTGTGTGTGTGAGTGAGTGTGTGTGTGTATGTAAGTGAGTGTGTGTGTGTGAGTGAGTGTGTGTGTGTATGTAAGTGAGTGTGTGTGTGTGAGTGAGTGTGTGTGTGTATGTAAGTGAGTGTGTGTGTGTGAGTGAGTGTGTGTGTGTATGTAAGTGAGTGTGTGTGTGTGAGTGAGTGTGTGTGTGTATGTAAGTGAGTGTGTGTGTGTGAGTGAGTGTGTGTGTGTATGTAAGTGAGTGTGTGTGTGTGAGTGAGTGTGTGTGTGTATGTAAGTGAGTGTGTGTGTGTGAGTGAGTGTGTGTGTGTATGTAAGTGAGTGTGTGTGTGTGAGTGAGTGTGTGTGTGTATGTAAGTGAGTGTGTGTGTGTGAGTGAGTGTGTGTGTGTATGTAAGTGAGTGTGTGTGTGTGAGTGAGTGTGTGTGTGTATGTAAGTGAGTGTGTGTGTGTGAGTGAGTGTGTGTGTGTATGTAAGTGAGTGTGTGTGTGTGAGTGAGTGTGTGTGTGTATGTAAGTGAGTGTGTGTGTGTGAGTGAGTGTGTGTGTGTATGTAAGTGAGTGTGTGTGTGTGAGTGAGTGTGTGTGTGTATGTAAGTGAGTGTGTGTGTGTGAGTGAGTGTGTGTGTGTATGTAAGTGAGTGTGTGTGTGTGAGTGAGTGTGTGTGTGTATGTAAGTGAGTGTGTGTGTGTGAGTGAGTGTGTGTGTGTATGTAAGTGAGTGTGTGTGTGTGAGTGAGTGTGTGTGTGTATGTAAGTGAGTGTGTGTGTGTGAGTGAGTGTGTGTGTGTATGTAAGTGAGTGTGTGTGTGTGAGTGAGTGTGTGTGTGTATGTAAGTGAGTGTGTGTGTGTGAGTGAGTGTGTGTGTGTATGTAAGTGAGTGTGTGTGTGTGAGTGAGTGTGTGTGTGTATGTAAGTGAGTGTGTGTGTGTGAGTGAGTGTGTGTGTGTATGTAAGTGAGTGTGTGTGTGTGAGTGAGTGTGTGTGTGTATGTAAGTGAGTGTGTGTGTGTGAGTGAGTGTGTGTGTGTATGTAAGTGAGTGTGTGTGTGTGAGTGAGTGTGTGTGTGTATGTAAGTGAGTGTGTGTGTGTGAGTGAGTGTGTGTGTGTATGTAAGTGAGTGTGTGTGTGTGAGTGAGTGTGTGTGTGTATGTAAGTGAGTGTGTGTGTGTATGTATGTAAGTGAGTGTGTGTGTGTGTGTGTGTGTAAGTGAGTGTGTGTAAGTGAGTGTGTGTGTGAGTGTGTGTGTGTGTGAGTGAGTGTGTTGTTGTGTGTGTTTTATGTTTGTGTGTGTGTTTTATGTTTGTGTGTGTGTGTATGTAAGTGAGTGTGTGTGTGTATGTATGTAAGTGAGTGTGTGTGTGTGTGTGTGTGTAAGTGAGTGTGTGTGTGTGTAAGTGAGTGTGTAATGTGTGTGTTGTAGCCCTGTGACTGTGGTCTTTGTCGTCTCAGGTCTGCCGCTGATCTGTGTGTGTCGGTGAAGCGTCTGCTGCAGAACGGAGCTGTTGCTGCTGGTGGAGACCTGCAGAGCAAAACACAAGCCCTGGCCAATCAGGTGAGCCGATGCTGTGCATGAAGACCAGAGTGGAGCGCTAGAGCTAGATATCTACTGAAGAATTAAACGCTAGGAAGAAATGCAAACAATGCGAGCATTTATTAAGCTCGCCGTTACAGATGTGACACCTCAAGCTACATCTGTTTTGATGCGCTCATTGGATGTTTTCGTGAATGAGGACTCTCTTGCTCTCTTTTATTACTCTGTTGGATGTGCGTGTTTCTGTGATTGTCTGAAGAAGGGTTTCTGCTCTCTGCTCCAGATGAAGCGGGATGCTGTCGTGGAGGAGGTCTCCGCCGGTCGAGGAGTGATTCTCTTCAGATTAAACAAGCTGATCCTGGCACAGGTGAACACAGACGCTTTGCTGCAGGTCTTCTTTACTCGTACACAGGAAGACACACAAAGCTCCACGCACATAGTTCTCCATCCAGAATCATTGTTCATGTGTATAATGACTTTAACCCTGGCTGCAGGACACATTGTGTAGACATGTTACAGTAATATGTTTGTCTTTTTGTGGTTTGACAGCTTGAATGAAGGCAATGCTACATATATGTGACCCTGGAGCATAAAAGCAGTCTTAAGTCGCTGGGGTATATTTGTAGCAATAGCCAAAAATACATTGTATGGGTCAAAATTATACATTTTTCTTTTATGCCAAAAATCATTAGGATATTAAGTAAAGATCATGTTCCATGAAGATATTTTGTACATTTCCTACCGTAAATATATCAAAACTTAATTTTTGAGTAGTAATATGCATTGCTAAGAACTTAATTTGAACAACTTTAAAGATGATTTTCTCAATATTTAGATTTTTTTGCACCCTCAGATTCCAGATTTTCAAATAGCTGTATCTCAGCCAAATATTGTCCTATCCTAACAAACCATACATCAATGGAACGATTATTTATTCAGCTTTCAGCTGATGTATACATCTCAATTTCACAAAATTGACCCTCATGACTGGTTTTGTGCTCCAGGGTCACATATGTTGAATGTTGGCATGAATTGAAAGTCTTATTTTCTAAATCCGTTTCACTGTGACTTTAGTCTCTAATTGAAGTGTCACACTGTCTGTTGTCTGCTGTTTCAGAAGCTCTTAGAGCAGCTGCGTTCAGAGCCGGATGTGTTCGGCGTGAAGAGTGAACTTCTGCATCATCTTCAGGGAGGAAGAACACTGGTGGAGTTCAGGTGTGTTCAGTCATGTGACCGGCACAGAGACCTTCCGGGAGAACCGTCCGCTTCCCATCGGTTTAAGCCAAGAATGTTTAGATCACCTGTCAAAACAGAACAAACAACAGCGATGTTTGGGCGCTTGTGATGCATAAACAGCACCTGCTGCTGGGACTTTCTAAAATCCTTAACATGACTTAATGTACCAAGATCAAAATCAGTATATACATACATTTGCAATCAAAATTATTCAACCCCCGAGAGACTGATACTTTACAAATGTAAGCTTTTCTGAAGATCCAGAGTTTTTAAAATCGCATCTATTATAGTTCAGTGGCATATTAAAAGTGACAACGTCAATATATGAGTTATTTTTGAGCTATAGGATTTCTTTGTAATGCAGCTGTCATAATTATTCAACCCCTCGTCAGTGCTGCTGTTTCTAAGTCACTTATTTGTATGGTAGGGTAAAAACAAACAAAAGAAGTCTTTGGAAACTCTTTAGCAAGACCTAATTTGCTTGAGCTGTTACACATACTGTACATAAACATGGCCAAGTCAAAAGAGCTCTAGGGCCACAGAGAATAAATAGTTTTATTAAATTAGACCGTAAATGTAAAAAAGCCACTCCCCCAGTTTCTCTTGCTCCGAATTAAAGGGCACAACATAATAAAACAATTTTAAAGATAATATCATCTGGCTTTTAGCGATGATTATTTATTATAATTATTTTATTTATATAATTATTATACCCATAATACATTACACGAGCCAGTTTAGTTTAATAATAATTATTAAGCTTTTATTTTAATAATATGATATGCAATATACCGTAAATAAGTCTTAAGTCGCTGGGGTATATTTGTAGCAATAGCCAACAATACATTGTATGGGTCAAAATTATCCATTTTTCTTTTATGCCAAAAATCATTAGGATATTAAGTAAAGATCATGTTCCATGAAGATATTTTGTAAATTTCCTACCATAAATATATCAAAACTTAATTTTTGATTAGTAATATGCATTGCTAAGAACTTCATTTGAACAACTTTAAAGATGATTTTCTCAATATTTAGATTTTTTTGCACCCTCAGATTCCAGATTTTCAAATAGTTGCATCTCAGCCAAATATTGTCCTATCCTAACAAACCATACATCAATGGAAAGATTATTTATTCAGCTTTCAGCTGATGTATACATCTCAATTTTTGAAAAATTGACCCTTGTGACTGGTTTTGTGGTCCAGGGTCATATATATATATATATATATATATATATATATATATCAACTATATAAACTAACATCATAAGTTTCACTTGCACTGATATGGCAAGATGTTTTTGTTTAGTTGCCCTCTTTCATGGATAGATCGTTTAATCTTGCTGTGTAAATGTGTTTAAATTCTTCATATTGTTCAATCTTTTAATCTTTGGTAGTGAATCGCACTGACTCTCTCATGAGAAGTGAATCAGAGTTTCAAGGCATGTGATTGGCTGTTCGTTGCTGATGTCACACTTTCATGTGCACGTGCTTCATAACTCGGGATCAAAGTCTGAATTGATGATTTTAATTTAATTTAATAATGATCTATAATCGTTTATTGATGCCTTTTTTGAATTGTCTTGGTTGAACTGGTTGAATAATTTTGATTGCAACTGTAAATATAGTATTCCTCATCAGTAAGGTGTACACTGAATTTGATGTTTTAATATCTCCATCGGTAGTGTAATCCCGGTATAAATAGCTGTGGTGCAGTGAAGGAAAGCCTTGATTTGTCGTGTAAAAACTGTGAATAGCGGACCCATTAGCTTACAGTATATTTTGATGTTTGAACTCTCTTTGCTTATAGTTCTCCAAACATCGCTAAGAAATTTCACGCCGGTCATCTGCGCTCCACTATAATTGGTAAGGTGCAATGCATTCCTGTTAAACTAGTCCCCTCTGTCACCAGTGGAGCGAGTGCTTGTGAACATATGGGATGATATTAGACTCAAAATGATTAATAGATGCACGCACAATTATCCATGCACTGCATAAATTTCATGCATGTATCTTATTAACCACAAACAAATACCTTTCAATTTGAGTCTGTGGAATTCAGGATATGCAAAAAGGAATCTGTGCATATGTGTATCAGGTGACACGCGTGCATTAATTGACGTCTAGTTCGAGTCGATCTTGTTCGGTTCATTTGGATTTTGAGACTTAATTTTCGCAGTTTACAGCATTTCACGTCCCCCACACACACAACTACCAACGAACAAGGCCCAGTGCAATTCATTAACGTGTACATGATTGAAAAATGTACAAATGTGCTTCACCACACTGAAACAAATGCTTTTCAACCGATGTCTGTAGAGTTAAGAATTACATTAATGTGCAGCATTTTGTTCAAATAGAGACATATTTGTGAATACAAATGTTATAGTTTGTATTAAAGTATCATGATTTGTGCATGTAGCGATTAAAATGTGCATTTGTGCATCAGGCAACGTGCGTGCATTCATTCACATCTCTTCTGAGTCGATTCTATTTGATTCATTTGAATTTTGAGACTTTCATTCCGCCCTTTTAGTCTTGCCCAATCCACACACACACACACACACACACACACTCTCTTTCTCTAGCCTTGCCCAATACACACACACACTCTCTCTCTCTAGCCTTGCCCAATCCACACACACACACACAATTCCACAGACTCAAATTGAAAGGCATTTGTTTGTGGTTAGTAAGATACATGTATAAAATTTATGCAGTACATGGATAATTGTGCGTGCATCTATTAATCATTTTGAGTCTAATATCATCCCATATGAACAGGACATTCTTAGGTTAATTATTTGCTGTGTTTGTATTGAACGGATGATTTTAATAAAACAGTTGTTCGCAAAAAGGATATTCACAGCTTAAATAGTTAGCTCTGTTTCTTTTGTAGGAAACTTCATTGCCAACCTAAAGAAGGCTTTGGGGAAAGAGGTTATTCGAGTCAATTATTTGGGCGACTGGGGAATGCAGTTTGGTAAGTTATCTGTTACCATTATTAACCTAGAGAAGTCAGTAAGTTGCATATGACTTGCATATACTCCTGAAAAAGGTGTGTTTGATGAAGGTTGCTGAAGCTGGCTGGTGTTTGCAGGTCTGCTGGGCGCAGGCTTTGAACGCTTCGGCTCTCAGGAGAAGCTGAGGACGCAGCCGCTGGAGCACCTGTTTGAGGTCCGCTCTTGTGTTTCGTTTGCACTGGCCCAGGCCGGATGTAGTTGCATTGGGACTAGCATGCACTCAGATCTGTTTGTTTTGACACTGTGGGCTGCAGGTGTATGTTCAGGTGAACCGCGAGGCCGAGCGTGATGAGAGCGTGCGTTCGGCCGCTGCAGAGTTCTTCAGACGTCTGGAGCAGAATGAAGATCAGGCCCTGGCGCTCTGGAGACAGTTTCGTGAGATCACGGTGGACGAATATAAACGCATCTATCAGGTAAAATCAGTTCTTATTCATGAGGGATTTATGTGTTCATATCTGGGAGTGCCAGCACTCAAAACTAGAGCTGTGTTTGAGGAACTGCATGCAATTTTCTTTTGCACGTTTTTAAAATCACATTTAGGATTTCTTATGCACATGTAAAAAGACCCACGCTCTCTGATTTCACATCAACATGAGCATTTGACTGGATATTTGATAATGAACGTATTGCATGTCTTAAGTCTTGTCTTAAGTCTCTCTCAGATAATGCTGTAAACTGAGCAGGAAGCCCGGTCAAGTCATACGTTACTTTAATATTAAAGATTGAAATCAATGACAAACTCTTAAATCCAGTTTATTTTCATGTATAATATTCAACACTGTATAAACGTATAAACTGAACTCCTTGAAAGAGTTAACAGAGGCTCTGAATGTGTCTGTCAAAATACTGAGCATTACTCACGATAAAAGAAAAAGACATGTGACCCAGAAACACATTGCTAATGATGCAATTATATTTCTAATATAATTATGTTTAAACTCTCTGCCGTAAAAGCCTATTATGACAGCGGTATGTGAACATACAGAGTCTTAAAAAGTCTTAATTCACCCTTTCTCAAAGTAAGCCTTAAAAAGATTCTTAAATTGACTGCATTAAATGTTGCATGCATTGCAAAAATGAGTATCTTCCTCAGTATTTTTGTCTTGTTTTCCAATATGGCAAAAATGGTATCTGTGTTCTTGGTATGATCCACGGAATCTATCAAGACCGGTCTCATGACAATAGACAAAAATCTTCAAAAGCTATTAGCATTTTTTGAAATTTCATTATAATTTTTGACCACTAACTTTTTGAGTACTGTCAGGCCATGGTCCCGAAGACACGTACCGAGTTTCGTAATGGTACGCCAACGCGTAAATATAGCAATTTTTAAAATAAAATAAAATATAGCATTTTATGACAAAATTCAAAATGGCTGACATGGGAAAATTGGGTATCATTCCACTCAGTATGTTGCTCCGAATCTAAATTGACTTGTGATTTTTGGCCAAAGCATTCAGAAATTATAAGCAAAAATAGGCATTTTTCTTATCTCCTAACCACTAGGTGGCGCTGCAGCATGTAGCCTCAGGGCATGGTTATCATAACACACACCCAAGTTTGGTCTGAGTACGGCAAAGCCTCATGTCTGATTTGGCAAGCTTGTCGTCGGAATTCGTTTGCGTGGATGAACCGTCTAAGACGAGTTCTAAAAAGTATGTTTTTTTTAACTATTAAAAATAGTGAATTTAAATTTTGGAGTCTGTTTGACTCGGCATGAGCCAAGGAATCAGAGGAAAAAATAATTTTCCTTCTAGACCTCATGAACCGTTATAAGTTATTAGCATAAACACGAGTGAAAATTTGGACAAGTGGTGGCGCTAGAGAGTTTGAGTTAGAGACTCCAAACTTGCTGTGGTTAATGGTGAGACTGTCCTCTATCAGTGTGCCAAATTTCACAACTTTCCCGCAAGCGGTTCTATGGGCTGCCATAAACTCAAGAGCAGGAGGAGGAAGAATGATAAGAAAACCTTCGGCGCTTGGCTCCTAAAAAACTATCTAGTGGCAGAAAATGACAGTTTTAAGTAGAAGTCTATGGAAGCTATGGAATAAAATAATAAAAAAGGTAATTTTGAGTTTATATTTCAAAATTCTGACTTTTTTCTCACAATTCCGAGATTATACCTCAAAATTCTGAAAATAAAAAAAAATAAAAATCAACTCGTCATTCTCTTTTTTTTTTTCTCCCCTCGGCTCAGAATCATGAGTTTATATCCCACACTTCTGGCTTTTTTTCCCCTCAGAATGGACAAACTCGCAATTGAGTAAAATCAAGTTACAAATCCGAACTAGGACATATAATCTTGAATTTGCAAGAAAAAAGTCAGAATTGTGAGATAAAATAGGTCAATGTTATGTAAAATTTTATAGGTTTAAATAGTATTTCTTGCTGTAACTGTAGGGCTAATACAATATGTCCCTTATGAACTGCATATGTGAGTACTGTTTAAATCAAATTTATGCTTTAAAAGTAGGGTAATCATAGCAGGTTTCATTCATAGTCTGTCCGTTTAAACATCTGCGTTTAGCTTCAAATGGTGTCTTTGATGACAGTATTCTATAAAAATGATTTGCATTCTGATACTGGCATCCAAAGTCACAAAAACACATTTTTTTGTCTTATTCCATGGATTTTACCCGTTTCTGTCCATTTGTTCCCAGTGTTTTTCTGCCACCACAATAGATGCAGCTGCAAGTGACGTCTACTCCAAATTGGTCTATAGTCCAGCCCTAGTGTTACTGTACCTTTGAGACTTCAGTGTATGCTGTGATTGTGAGTGACGGAGGTTCATGCAGAGAGGCTCACAGCGTCTGACGGTGTCTGTGCTCTCTCAGCGTTTAGGAGTTCACTTTGACCATTACTCTGGAGAGGCGTTTCATCACCATCAAACCCAGAATGTGCTGGACGTGCTGATGAGCCAAGGACTCTTAAAGACCACCGAGTACGACACCACCTCTCATTCTGACAGTAATAAAACCTGGAGACATCTGAATAGCAGAAAGCCTTTCCTGCACACCAAAAACACACAGGCCTAAATTTGAGATTTCTGTATTTGAATTGCATATAAAATTTCCATTCATTTGGGTTACACAGTTTTAACATAAACAGTCTAGTAAACCTGAAGGAATAGTTCACCCAAAAATGAAAATGTGCTCACCCTCAGTCCATCAGAGATTAGGATGAGTTTGTGTTCTGGTGTGAATCAGGAGAGAAATCTGCACAGATCAAGCAGTGTTTAAACAGCTCTGAACAAATCTGTGGCTGGATTTTGATGCGAGAGACAACAGCAGATGCACTTTTTCACTGGATTGATTATAGACTCAAACATGCAGCTTGTCACTTCAAATTGTAATTTTTGTGTGAGCTATTCCTTCAAAGGGCATATTTGTCAGTCAGACATCATGAAATGAGAGTTCTGCAGTCAAAAGATCATGGCATAGTTTGCTTGTGGTAACTGACAGTGACTGGTTGTTGTGCAGGAAGGGCACGGCTGTGGTGGATCTGTCTGAAGCGGGCGATATGTCGTCTTACGCCACACTGGTGCGCAGTGATGGGACGTCTCTGTACATCACCAGGTCTGTCACGCACCTCTCTGAGCCGCACATACACACTGAGTTCACAGTCGTGACACAAGTCATTTCTGTTTGCTTTCAGAGACGTCGCAGCAGCACTGGACAGGAAGCAGAGGTTCGGGTTTGATGAGATGATCTATGTGGTAAGAATCAGGGATGCCACAATATTCAATATAATATTGAACCTTTCGGTACGACATCCGCGGTTCAATACACACTTGTGAATTTCTGTGCATTCGTTTTTTCTCTCCGAATTGGCTCTGTCTGTGTGTGCCTGTGAGTCCCCGCTTATACGCCGGCCGAACATCTTCCCTTGTAATGACTTTAATGAGAAGCGTTTCTAAACCTGTTGATCAACAAAATGCAACATCAGTCGAGTGTTTGAAATAACTCCCCTTTGTGATCTGATGTGGCACAGAATGAGGCAGAAAATATATTCTATACTGTAATGAAGTGACATTAGTGATTTCCTGGAGCGTCATCTGTTCTGTTACTTCTGTGATGCACATGTGGAGTCTCTGCGCGAGGGCGCCCTCCAGCTTCCAGTATGAATGAAACGGACATTACCTGTGTTTATTACGCTCAATAATGGCCAATCCATCCTATTTTGGGTAAAATTAGGAAAAATAATACTTCTCTCAAAAGAAATTTGAAGTAGACATTTTTTTGGTAATTTGTTTTAAACATTGCATTTTAAATCTAAAAAAAAAAAAAAAACCACTGACGTGCCAAGCCATCAGAACTGAACCGAAAACCGTGGTTAAAAACCAAGGTATGTATTGAGCCGTGGGCTAACTGTATTGTTGCATCCCTAGTAAGAATCGTCTGAAATCACTGCTAAACCACACAACTCTCTGACCTTCTGCATCAGCTCTGTCCTCCTTCCCTCTTTAAGACAGATAAGAGTCAGACCGTCCACTTCCAGCAGCTCTTTCACATCCTGCAAACCATGGGACACCAGTGGACAGAGAGGTACACACACACACACACACACACACACTCACAGACACACATGACATGCACACACATGACACTCACACACACACATGACACTCACACACACACATACACACACACACACACACACATATGTATATATATATATATATACACCCCCAAGCGCCCTGCATACAGACGTTGCTGTAAAGTCAACATGAAATCAAAATGGACTCTTAATTACATGACTTAAACTTACATTTCTGGTCATTGCAATGATTTTGGAAGTAACTGTGTTCAAAAACACGTAAAAATAACATGTTAAAACAATTAGTGAATTTAATGCAGCACCCTGTCCAGACCTGTCAGTCATCTTACACTGATGGAGCATCTGATGAACATGATGCAGGACGACTGACTGTGTGATGAAGTCTTTTGGAATGCAGTTATGAGCCTACAATTCAAGATATGAGGACAAAAATGACCCTCTTATATTTATATCATATGATATAGTTTAGCAATATCACACCAGCAAGAGTGCGGCTTTTCACCAAGATCTGCACGACTGTAAATCTGATACTGATTTAATACAACAGTTCAATAAAGGAGTTAATATTGTGTACATTTAAGTCACAATATTGTCTGTTTTTCGCAGTGGTGATTCACAGTTTTGATGAATCCACAGGTTTGAATGAATCAAGTGATTCAGTGACTCATTCATAATGAGAGTCACTTGCTTCGTTTCTGAATGAATCAGCTGTTTGAATGATTATTGAAGCGTTAAGCTCTCCCTGCAGTTTTTATCCAAAATAAAAGCTTGATGGTTTAACCCAGTGTAATTTGAAAATCCTTGAGACACTTATCGTTTTTATTAATATTTTGAATCTGTTTTTATTTTTATATTTTCCATTTTTATGTCAATTTTATTTGAAGTTTTAGTCATTTTGTTATGTGTTATAGTAAACTTCATGTCTACATATGGGTTATTAACTTTTATTTTTCAACTTAATTTTTATTCTTCTCTTTTTAGGGACAAACTTTTGTTGCAGGTCAACATAGTTCAAAAAATATGAACAATAAACAAATGTATTTAACAAACCATATACAAAAGGCATCGACTTAGGAGGAAAAAATAAGAAAAAAATACATTAATGTCACCATATTAAAAACAATTGACAAAATTATATAAATAAATTGATACTTGAATCCACTGAAGGGGAGTTTATTAACTTTTAAAAGATCAAATGATTCATCCAAAGTTTTGGTCAGACGAACCTCTTAGATGTAAAATATTTTCTTGAGGTTCCCCTGAGATTGTAAATTAATATTTCTACACATTCACATGATCACAGTTCTCCAAGTCATGTTTATGGTTCTTCATAATGATTAATGGCTACATGCGTGTAAAAAGATAAGATATTGCATCTTTTTTAGGAAGCGTTTCATTTGTAGTTAAGTAGTAGTGTAATTTTTATATTTATATTTGTTTTTGTCGTAAACTTATATGTAGGGCTGCACAATTTGGCCAAAAGATTATACTGTATATTATGTGGTCACATATTGTGATTGCACTTTGAACTGCAATGAAAATGTCTCCCGTTGCTGCTGCTGAGACTCAAAGAACAAAGACTGTTCTGCTAATGGAAATTAGCCTCTTTACAAGAACCAACACTGCAATTACAATACAAATATTAATGTTTTAAATGATTCACTATCAAACGTTCAAACGCTTTTATTCTGGCAGATTGTGCTGCAAACTTCTGCACACAAAAATATGAAAGATGTGAATGTAAATGAAGTAAACCTTGTGTTCCCGAATGCACCTTAAACTCACAGCGCCGGCAGAAATGCAATCTCCTAAAATAATCTCTTCTCTGTTATCTTGACCTTCCTACGACTAACGGACTTTGAGTGTTATTGGAAAGTAGGTCTTTTTGCCACAACCTCCGCATTATCAAAACACTGATCAATACAGATGTTTGATGTGTGAAATGAAGTACTTCTCTTGCTAGGTTAATTTGATGATATTGTTGGAAACTCTTGGGTATCTTCAGCAGGACACTTTATTGAGAACTTGCTGTGTGGCGCTGCAGTCATCAAATGTCTGACTAAGGCAGGCGTACATAGTATTTTATAGGCGTTCATAGATGGGCCTTAGAGATGTTGACACAGTACGAGAACAAAAGACGTGTAAACATTCACATGTAGTTAACGCTTAGTAGGAAGATCAGAGACTGGCAGAACCCCTTCCCTGGAAACTGTATTGAACCTACTCCGTAAATAGATGCCATCATGTTCACATTAAATGCCCAATACAAAGTAGATCACCTTAGTTTTTCATATCATGTTACGTCAGGGTGTAGGATCAGCAGATCTTAAACAGATGCTTAAATTTGTAATCCTACAATATTTAATAGTTTATTGTGACATCAAATGCCATGGGATGTGTCCTTAATCGAGGCTCGACACTAAGGATGGCCCGGGGCCAGCGTAAAACACTCGGGACAGTAGATGGTTTTGCCACTGCTGTGTCCTCATGAAAGTTTATCATTTGCACGTGTTTTTAAAGCTTTGCCAATTTAAACATTCAGTCGATTTAAAAGCATTAGAAGTGAAAAGCACACAAAGTGCAAGACGATGCAAAGAGAACTCCACTCAGCACTCGTGTTCTGTTTCTCTTTCGCGTCTTCTTTCGCTTGAACGGACAAACACACTTACCAATTTGAACATTGAAGTGATTTTAATGCATTCAAGCACAAGAAGACGCGAATAACAACTGCATTCAGTGTGTTCTGTGTGCACAGCGGAAACATATAGAGCCGTGTCTCAGGAAACACGCGAAGCCCGTATGGAGTTTCTTTCTGTGCCTTCTTGCGCTTGAACGGACAAATACATACATATTAGACACATAAATTGTGCTTAAAGTGACCGTGCCTAATTTACCAACTGCTGTCGGTGTTTAATCTATATATTTAATTTATACAGTGAAGAATATGTTCATTAGATTTTTTAAATCTAATGAAAATGAATAAATGATTGTAAACGATAAAGTAAACAAGAAAATAAATCGCAACACAGATGTACGGTTGCTCTCGTGAAGCTACACACAGACTGTCACTGAAACAGATCCTCAGGTCCTTCAATACATTCTCTTCTAGTTCACTTCACTAAAAACCATTTAACAATGCAATGCATGCTGTCAATCGATTATAAAAAACGTAATTGCACATTTTTCTGTAATTAATCATGATTCATCGCATATTAACATATATTTATATTGCCATCATTTCACATTGAATCCCCAAATTAGTGTAGAAACAACATAAAGATGGTATATTTTAAATAAGTTTAATGGCACCCTTTACTAAACCTGTTATTAATGAGGGCCAGTATCGTTGATACAATAATGCTACAGGTGTCTGTAATGAATGCATTTTCCCCTCAATTTTATCCATTAATTATAGCCATTCAACATTACAGTATAATTTAAAGCTATTATTTTTAACAATTAATAGGCATTGAAAAACATAAGTTTTAATTTAAGTGAACTTTAAAACAATCTTCAGATAAACTATAACTTGTATGTAGATGAATCTTTATTCAAGCTGCGGAAGTGAATCAGTGAGCAGAGCAGTGAGTGATTTCCATCAGTGACAGACTGCAGTATGTTTGACTTTAAGCAGCGCTGTCTCTTTAAAACCTGACACAGATGATGCGGATCTGACCCACATCCGGTTTTCTCCCAACTCTTTACGCTTATTTAGGACTTTATAACTCATTTAAGACCGCGCTCATATAAGACGAGATCACTCGCCTAAAATGGGCGTTTTGAATTGTGTGTTTTTGTCTGTTGTCTGAAGTGGCTTTCTGTGCGTGTGTCAGACGCCTGTGTTCACAGAGAGCTGCTTCACAGTGTGTGCGCCGGTACCAAATTAACTTCTCTTTTGCGTCTTATCATGCTTGATAGCGTGTTCATATAGCCTACTATAACACTAGACAAAGGATACCAGGAAAAAATGGTTGCTGCATTAAATGTGTTAATATTAATCGCACAATTAAAAAGTTCATTATGAAAGCCCTAGTAATTACATAATGTGTGTGTGTGTGTGTGTGTGTGTCAGGTGTGTTCATGTGGCGTTCGGGCTGGTGCAGGGCATGAGCACACGCCGCGGGGAGGTGGTGTTCCTGGAGGACGTGCTGGAGGAGGCTCGCAGCAGGATGCTCAACAACATGAGGCAGTCCAGCAGTGAGAGAAAATACTTTCTGATTACCCTAACCATAACTGATCATCCCTAACCAGAGTATGTGAGCGGAGCGGAGTGGGAGCGGTGTGATTTTGACTGGAGCGAGGAGTGGAGTTTTTAGAAGTCGGAGCGTCGTGGTTTTCACTCGCTCCAAGAGCGCTCCACCACCGCTCCATCACGAGTACAATTCATGCAAACAGCCCGTAATATAACTGCATATTTAGCAGGAATTCACAGGTTAAACATTTAGCTAGCTTGATAGAGAAGGATCACTCAAATCAGAAAGAATGTGAAGGCTATGATGACAGCAATGGACATAAGCGGGAAGTTATAGTTCTCAAGGAATTTGTTTGTTCCTTCTAGATACTGAATATTTTCAGCTGAAAGCACGATTTAAACAAGTAGCCTACTACAACACTTATTCACACGCAATCGCTCTCTCTCTCTCCCTCTCAAAAAAAAAACAACAACTAATCTTACAGTGCTGCTTCATCTGTATCCGATTTCGAATGAGCAGAAATCTATAAGAAATGCATCGATCCGTAGGTAAAATAACTGACGTTATTACAAGCTATTTAATGTACTGTTATTTTCATCACAAACAAAATTTGCACTGAAAAGCAGCAATTATACCAAAAAAGCAGCAATTATACCTTTTAATGGTGACAACCATGTTATTAGCTTGTCATGTGGTAGGAAAAAAGTGTGCACACTAGTGTTTCAATAAGCCACTTTGAAACTCTCCTGTTATTTTATTTTTTAATATACGTTATGAACAGAAATGTGATATTTCAAACAAACTGAAATACTTTATCCGTGGAGCGAAGGCGGAGCGGTGTTTCTGATATCAGTGAGCGAGGAGTGGAGCGGGAGCGGGAAATGGTGAACCCCGAAGCGGAGCTGGAGTGGAGTGATTATTAAATGCTCGGAGCGCGGAGGGGAAATTGTTGCCGCTCCACTCCGCTCACATACTCTGTCCCTAACCTTAACTGATCACCCCAACCGTAACCGATCACCCCAACCGTAACGATCATCCCTAACCGTAACCGATCACCCTAACCGTAACCGATCATCCCTAACCGTAACCGATCACCCCTAACCGTAACTGATCACCCTAACCGATCATCCCTAACTGTAACCGTAACTGATCACCCCTAACCGTAACTGATCACCCCTAACCGTAACTGATCACCCTAACCGTAACTGATCATCCCTAACCGTAACTGATCATCCGCATCACAGCCTCATTCTAGAGATGCACACATTTACAGTTTCAGGCCAAAGTATGCTTCGGTTGTCTCATGTACTCGAGGGCAGTGCGCGTGAAGCCCAAAGTATACTTTGTTTTTGTATGCATACACTAGCCAATTTTCTCTAGAAGTTATGACCAATAAAAATGTCTTTGTACTCTTTTAATCTAAAGTTGCGGCTCTCTCATAACCCTCTCACACAAGCGCTTGTCAATGCAGACCCACGCGTACGCGTAAAAACCAAAGTATACTTTGGCCTTGATGCAGATTTTGTCACCAAAATAGTACGCACACCATGCAATTTTTGTAACCGCACGTACTTTATATGTGCAGGTGGTGCATGCGCATTGATTTGATTTTGCACTAATCGGTTGTTCCTCAAGGTGGCAGCACTGGCCCGGGCCGCTGTTTCACAGTAAACTAAAGAGACAGAACAACAACTAAACAGCAGAGACTGCAACAACAACAGATGGCTGCATTGACAAGTGCTTGTGTGAGAGGGTAATGAAAGAGCCCCAACCTTAGTTTAAAAGAGTACAAAGACATTTTTATCAGTCATAACTTCTGATAAATAGTGCAGACACTGGACAAAAATGAAGCTGTCCTGAGCGCATGTGTCATCCGCCTGTGTTCGAGTACACCTCAAATGAACTATACTGGACTATACGTGTTCAGCTGCACACATATGCTAGCATATGCCTACAAAAATAAAGTATACTCTGGGCTTTATACGCACTCACTCACTCACTCACACACACACACACACTCTCTCACACACTCACTCACTCAAACACACACTCACTCACACACGCGCTCACACGCACTCACGCACGCACACACACGCACACACACACACACACACTCACTCACACACACACACGTACGCATACTCTCACACACGCTCTCACACACGCTCTCACACACGCTCTCACACACGCACTCACACACACACACTCGCACACACTCACACACACACACACACACATACGTTTCCTATTAAAGTGAGGATATA